GATAACAAACTTTTGAGAGGGGAAGGTGGTGGGGGTGAGGGTGGTAATACGATTTTTATTGTCAATTTCTCTTTTCTTTTGCTTGGTGTTCTTGTGTATGTGTGTTCCAACGCCCACCTCCCTCTCTCTCTCAACTAAACACACACTCAATCTCTCTCTCCCTCTTTTCTCTCTCTCTCTCTCTCTCTCTCTCTCTCTCTCTCTCCCTCTCTCTCCCCCCCCCTCTCTCTCTCTCTCTCTCTGTCTTTTAATCTCTGTCTCTCTCTCTCTGTCCTCCCTTTCTATCACTCCCTTCTTCGCCCTCTCTATTTCTACCTCACCCACCCTCTATCTATCTATCTATCTATCTATTTATCTATCTATCTATCTATCTATCTATCTATCTATCTATCTATCTATCTATCACACAAACACACACACACACACACACACACACACACACACACACACACACACACTCACCCACACACACACACACACACACACACACACACACACACAATACACACTACACACATATACAGAGACACACAAAGACGCACCCATCCCACACACACACATGAATGCACACAGAAAAATCTACACTCCCAATAACATTGATCACGACTACTACTACTACTACTACTACTACTACTACTACTACTACTACTACTACTACTACTACTACTACTACTACTACTACTACTACTACTACTACTACTACTACTACTACTACTACTACTACCACTACTACTACCACTACCACTACCACTACCACTACCACTACCACTACCACTACCACTGCCACTGCCACTACCACTACCACTATCACTACTACTACTACTACTACTACTACTACTACTACTACTACTACTACTACTACTGTACCGTCAAAGAAATCATAACTTGAAACGTTTTACACCTGTTATGTCATCTATACATATTATATTTGTGAAAGTCCGTCACTTTGGCCTCCTAAAACTTCCGAACCACTTAAACTTTTGAATTTGACAAAATTAATGGTGGTTCAGAATGATTTAAAGGGTGTACAGTTTTACTGAGGAGCCTTAAGTCACTGTTGTTTAATTTTCAGTTTTTCATTAGTTTCGTTTAGATCTAATCTTGGGAAAGTCCGTCTTCTAAGACGCAATTGTAAATAAGTGAGGTTTCTATTCACTAGTTGTGCGCACTGTTTCCACACCTTTGAAATTCCGGAGTGGACAATCACGAAAGTGGAATAGAGAATTAATCTATACACGATAATCACTATATCTAAAACTTCTAATTTTTTTCATCTCTCAGGACTTATTGCTCCATTCCAGTAGAGTGTAAATATAGTAGGCCAATGACTCTCAGTTCGTGTTAACGCACCGATCATTCCTCTCATCGTAATGGGGCCCAGCTTGTCAATGATAACCTTCGACAGAATCAGTTATGGACTCATTTTTATTGGATAGTAGCAACAGTCCACTGGGTCACAACCCCCCCCCCCCCCCTCCTCATAAAAAACTCAAACAAAAACAACAAAACAAACAAAACGTAGCCTTATTTCGGAAAGGGAGGTGGATATTTATACAGCAGGCCGTCGAAAAATCGGAAGTGATAATTCCACGGCACATAAATTCAGCCAATCAGAACGTCCGGACTATTTATAATAAAGCCTATAATCTCGTTTCCATAAGTAACGCATTATTATAGAGATACAATTTAAGATACCAGTATGTTTAGTTAACAATGTTTATCCTTTTCTATCATTTTGTGCATTATGGACAATAATGAAATGTTTTGTGTGATTGTAACATGAGTGAGAGATGCACCCCTTCGGAAAGCGGGTTGTGTGTGGAATGGTGCTATTAAGGGCAACTACTGTGCGCTAGTGCTGGGCGGCTAGGTTCGCGATTGTTGAAAGCTAGGAATCGTAGGAATCGACTCCGAACCCAATTACTTATTTTCTAATAATGTGATTTCTTCTGGTGGTTACCTGGTTGGCTCCGAACATCTTCAGGATTTAGGATAACCTTGATTTCGGAACACTACAAAGAATCAACTTTTTTTTTCTCCAAAAATAAATTCTAAAAATGGGAAAAAAGATTTTAATGATTAAAGTAACTGGTAACAGTTGGTTTATATAAAAAGGAGTCGGAACTTTTCCTCCGTAGCATTAATCATGGGAATCGGTTCCGGAATTGATTCTTTGCCCAGCTCTACTCTGTACAGTAATTTTGAAATAGCTCTTCTTTTTTTTCTCCTGCATTTAGGTATCCCATTCACCTCCAACACCAAAGAATCAAATGGTTCGGACATCTCATGCAATTACCAACAGACCATCCACCACAAAAAATTCGATAGCAACAAGGCTAGAGGGCGACCGAGAAAGACCTGGATAGATGGAGTCAGGGAAATACTTACAACTCACGGCATCCCCCTAACCCAAACTCTCCAGCTGGTGGCAGTGAGACGTCTCTTTCTTCCCGCGGCACCCAAAAGGGTATAACCGGTGGATAAAGGTAAGTTTAGTTTTATTACAGGTTTTACGGCGCTCGCAACTGCATAAGGTCATATGAGCGCCATGGATAAAGTAAAAGTAAAAGAGTATCCCATTACTAAATCTGATACACTTCTTCATGACTGACTCTCCGACTACTTCTACTACTTCTACTACTACTATCCCTTGCTGTTCATGGACAATAAGGGCGGACAACAAGACACCCCGGAGTCCCACAAGGGATCCTTTTTTTGTAAGGCATCGTAGTAAAATCATATTATACTCGTCAAAATAAGGGAATCGAAGAAACCGGCATTTTTCTGCCGGTTTGAAAATTTGTAACAATTTTTTGTTTGTGCTCAGGACCGTTTCTATCCATTTAAAAACACTTTATGGGTTTTACTGAAAATAAAACGCTTAAAAAATGTAAATCTTCAGTTTCCAACTGCTCGCCTGCTGTAGAATTTAGAAGTGACCAAACTTTGGCTGCCATTATCTCGCTATTTCACCTCTGAAATCAGGCACCCCCACCTTCTTCAATCGCAAATATATCAACTTCTATTCCCGATAGACAGGTATTTCTTTCACAGAAAGCAAGAAAAATAAAAAATAAAGCTTTATGGTGAATCATTAACTCTTTATGCCCCAAACGTTTTGACCACCTGATTCCACAGCGCCACGACATATATTATATAACTGTATCATTATTTTAGAAATTTGATAATAATGTCCTTATGTGCTGGAATGTAAATTACAGTTCTTTCTTTTATCTCAAAGCAGAGCAATGTGATTATGTTCAGGTCGTGGGCAACTGTAGTTTCAAAGGTGATGAATGGTCCTTTCGAGAATGGGTTGTTTATATTCTAAAGGTACCGAAAATGGAATGACGGACTGATAAAACTACGTGTATCAGAAAATTAAAACGTAGGCCGTGGACGGTTGGCGGGTGCTCTGGTGTGGTTTGCTCCTTCTTTTTTTAAAATCAAACATCTATCGTTCTTATCTCCTCTTCTTTTCTTTATGTTTGTTACTCTCTTGTAACCCCTCTGGCGCTCATATGACCTTATGCAGTTGTGGGCGCCGTAAAACCTCTACTAAAACTAAATTAAAACGTAGGCCAGTGTTTTCCCTGTTCCTCAACACCCCCTCTTCCCTGCCCCAGGAACTCCTGTGGAGGTTTAAATGAACCACCAGTGAGATAATATCAGATTTTAATCCAGCAAAAGGTTTTCTGGTGTTGACGATCGGAAATGTTCACGAACCCCCAGAAAGGACTCACCACCCCCCCCCCTCCCCATCTCAGATTAATTTATTGCGCCTGCTCTAGCCCCCCCCCTCCCCAACCTCACCTCAGTAAATTGAAATACATGTATTTAATCACTATCACTACACTGCCACAACACATCAATCACAACACAAGGATTAATTTGGGCTGTGCAGTGGTCCAATCCTGTCTATGATAGAAGTCCTAGGCTGAATGGGATACAGTATCACAGCTGAAAAGCTGAGATATTTGATAAAATAGACTTCTCAACAAGGGGAATCGAGCTGCCAACAAAACTAAAAATGTTTTTAATGAAACAGGAAAGGGATTTGTGAAACTGGTGGTTGATTTTCAAGATGTCATCAATACAATGGATTAAAAATGGCTGTGCAATTGCGGAATCCAATCAAAGGAATTGCTTTCAAATGTTCATCGATCAGCCTTGTTCTGTTTATTGGCTTTACATACATCATCCCCGGCATTGCACAGACAGGCATCTCGGCTTCCGAGTGCTAAAATGGACTTCTATTGCAATGCATGTCTTTGACAGAATTGCAGACAGGCATATAAGAATAAAGACAGACAGACATAAAATAAGGAAGACAAATATTTACGCGAGCAGATAAAAGGACAGACAGACAGACAGACAAGCCAATAGGCATGCAGATGGAAAAAGAGCATACAAAGAGAGAGAGCGAGAGAGAGAGAGAGAGAGAGAGAGAGAGAGAGAGAGAGAGAGAGAGAGAGAGAGAGAGAGAGACAAAGACAGAAGGAAGACAGACGTGAAGTCAAAAAGACAAACAGACAGAGACAGTCGTGAAGGCAATAAGATAGACCGACAGGTTATTATTCTAAATGACATCAGAGCTACCCTTCTCCCTCCGAGACCTAACATTGACAACACACTCTATGGAACATTACAGCAACTGCAGCAGACCTGCACTGATCACTACATGGCATTGGATAAAAGGTCGAGAGCCCAGCTGTTGCTGGATCGATAACAACAACGACAACAACAACAGGCTATGATTTATCATCTAAAAATACAACTACAAAGAAAAACAAACCACGAACGTGGGTGGTTGACGAGTGCTCTGGTGTGATTTGCTCTTTCTTTTCTATCAAACAACCATCCTGATATTTCCTCACTTGTTGTGTGTTTGTTACTCTCTTGTAACACCTCTAATCTCCGGCACTTATATGCCCTTATTGTGTTGCAAGTGCCGTAAAACTCTTACTAAAACTAAAACTAAAACTAATAAAGCTACAAACCTTGACGGCCCTCTGTTTCTCCTCCAATAGCTCCTCCATCTTGACCTTGACCCAGAGCATCGTGCTGTCCATGTTGTCCTGTGATCTCTTCACCACCTTCAGGCTCGTTTTCTGTAGAGAAGAAAAACAAAATCGTTTACAGTGCGGTCAAAAATTCGTGGCGCAAATTATTGTCAAATATCTCCTCAACTGTTTAACATAAACTCTCCAGCTTTTGCAGAGCGACTTGTATCAATTTATCAATTTGTCTTAACAGATTTATATTTTTGTGAACACCTGTTAGCTCTATTCTAGAAAAGTCCTTAATAAATACTAATTAAAAAATCCCACTCAGTGTTTTCTATAGAATTTAAAAGGTTTACAGCAGGGACAATATCGCTTTTAAAAGAAAGTCCGTTAGTTTTTTCCAATCGCAAGATATCAGCTTATTGAACGCTTGTTTTGAGAACTTTTCAGTGCAAAAGGGTGTTCACTATAAAATTATTTTCTTGTATCCAGTTTTGCCTGTAAAAAGTGTCATTTGTGAGCTGTGGCGTATGTCATTATTATTATACGTCATCAAAATGTGTGTAAGAAGCGGAAAGTTCTGTGAGCAATTCCATTTTTCTCGTGAAGGAGAGCTGTAGTATTATATATAAATTTATGAAGAAAAATGTATAAAATCTAGCCTCAATTGTTGTAGGAAAATATGATTAGGTGAAGACAAACGGATACACACTGTAGTGTAAAATATGGGTGACACTGATTTATCCGTTAAAAAGACGTTTGAGGATCAGTTGCGCCACGGATTTTTGACCGCACTATAGTAGATTGCATCAAAGAAATAATGATAGGAACCAGAAAAAGCACAAATAAAATGACTTTAGCAACTTGCCTTTTTTTTTTTTTTTACTACATTGACCTTTTGAGATGGCGCACTTTTCTATGCACTCGGATGTTGTTGTTGTTGTTGTTGTTGTTGTTGTTGTTGTTGTTGTTGTTGTTGTTG